CAATATGCATTTTTGTTTTTATTGATAAGCTTTTTTACTATATCGCCCAGCCCTAATTAAAACAGAATGAAGGCATTCTGTTTCCCTCCACCTACGTTCTTCTATCAGCAGCTCAACCCAGACAGCTGAATGGTTGTTTCTCTTGTCAGTGGCAGCTCTTAGATGCTTTGCTAGAGTTAATGTATTCTAAATGTCTACTCTATAGGTTTCTGCATTAAAAGACCAGGGCAACAAGGCGCTGAGTGCGGGAAATATTGATGAAGCGATCCGCTGCTACACCGAAGCCTTGGCTCTGGATCCATCAAACCATGTGCTGTTTAGTAATCGCTCTGCTGCCTACGCCAAAAAGGGAAATTATGAGAGCGCTCTGCAGGACGCTATCCAGACCATCAAGATTAAGCCTGACTGGGGCAAGGTAAGAGTCCTTCTGGTATCACACTGTGAGGCATCGGAGGCAAAAAAAAAAAATCCTGTTTAAAACATTCTGACTCTTCTCATAGGGATACTCTCGTAAAGCTACAGCTCAGGAGTTTCTGGGTCGGTTAGAGGATGCTAGACTGACGTACCAGGAGGGACTCCGCAAAGAGCCGAGTAACCAGCAGCTGAAGGAGGGTTTACAGAATATTGAAGCCCGGCTTGCAGGTACGGAAAGCCTGGGTTTATACCTCCATGTACAGAAAGAGGTTATCTGGTAATATATGTATTAGAGCTGATGAGTACAGGGAATTTCTCTGTTGTGACATATGTTAATTTGCTGAATCCATTTCAGACTGATTTTATATTTTTTAAACGCATGAAAGAAAACGGGTGAATGTGAGGATTCTTTCATAGAGGAAGTAGCTTTTAAGCTACCTGAAAATGAAGGAATTATTAACATTTCTGCATCACAGATCCGATTTATATTCATGTCCAAAATCTGGATTAAAGACGGTATCACTTTGAGACATAGGCTCTGTTCACACTGCAGCCTGAAGTGACCCCAATATTATTTATTTTTTTTGCCCATATGCGACCTGTATCTGATCTTTTCATGACAGTCTGAAAAACACAGATACGATTTTTTCCCCAATCACCGATACAAATCTGATCTTTTTTAATGCGACCTGTGTCTGAACGGCCAGGTCACATTTATTCCACCTGATCGTCATTAATACTCAACAAATGTAAATATTCTGCGTCTTGCTATGCAGAACTGAGAAGAAAAACAACAACAACCACCACCACCATGGCGGGCGGTAATGTGGCAATTTTTTTATTTTTTATTTTTTTAAACCATCTTGAGAAGATTTGAGTTTTTAAGGTTGGAAATTATTTCTAGATTCGCTCCAGCTCTACCATCCACGTTTACTTCCGTTACACTGAGCTGTATGAATGCATTTCACACAGGAGATCACATAGAAGTCGCATAGATATAAAAATGTGAACGGCAATGCAAAAAAAACAAACTTAAAAAAATCGGTTGAGTATTAAGGCCTGCAGTGTGAACGTAGCCTAAATGTTTCTGTATTGATTCTTTTAATTTTTGAAAATATTTCTCATTCCTTTATTTGATGTGGTATTGATTAGAGCCAGTATAGTAAAAACGTCCCTTTTCTCATCTTTGGCCACTTAATAGAATAACACATGTTACTGATGAAGCTGTTAACCTTATGGTCTGCTGTTTCCTCCAATAGAAAAATCTGTGATGAACCCCTTCGCCATGCCCAATTTGTACCAGAAGCTTGAGAATGATCCTCGGACCCGGGAGCTTCTGACGGATCCCAGCTACAGAGAACTGCTGGAGCAGCTCAAGAACAAACCATCAGAGCTGGGCGCGTACGTGTCTCTGTTTTCTATCTACAGCTCTCTAACCATAACCTGACTCCGCCAGATGGATTTGCTCCGCATATCCATCTGGAAACCTTCTGTTGAAGTAATTTTGGGAAGGGGCGAAAATACTGGTTAGCTGATTGGCCTATGTTGGTGATAGACGGGCCAAATAAACCAATCAGATCAACGAAGCATATGACGTGCTAACAGAGCGACGACGAAGAGGAGCCAATTGATAGATCAAACTCCGATAAAACTTGCGCGGTACACGCTAACGCTAGTTTCATCGGCAGAAGCCGCCATGTTCTTTAGACTGAACTGTCGCGCTTCTCGTTGCGTCACACCTCAACCCGCTTTAAAGCCAACGCTGATTGGACATTCGTTAAATTTTCTTTAACGTAGAGTCTCCAGACTGATCTGCGAGTGAAACTTTGAAACCTCGCGAGATCAGGATGGTCTCATGAGGCTACTCTAACCACAGGCAAAACATCAGTAACTAAAAGAATAGACCCATTTACTGTTTAAAAAAAAAAAAAATAGCAAAAGCTTCCAAGCCTTTTTAGGGGGAAACCTGCCACCCTTCATGGTGCTACCTTGTCAACCACAGACCTGATGGAAACAGCAATATAACTAAATCATTAGACTGATTCCTTAGAGCAGCCCATAGGCAGGTAAACATTAACATTGAGTCTTCTTTTTCTAAGAGCAACATTGCAAAGCCTTTATCAGTAAATTAGATATCGCCTCAATGAACAAGAGGATAAAGAAATAAAATTATGTAACTTTAGCCAAGACTAATGATCAAACCTTTGCCTCTGCTCTTTTTTTTCATATGTAGAAAGTAAAGACGCTTCTTTAAATTGCATATCAGCCAGAAACCTGAGTTAATAGTGAAATGTGTGCACATATAAGATGGTCCAAAGCCCATTTTAATGCAATAAAACTTAAGTCCGTCCTTAAACCTAAAATTAGTGCGACAACTGCTGCTGTTGGCCATTGTTTATCGCTACATTTGGTTCTGCCTTCTAACCTGTAAAAAGATGAACAGGGGTGCTCCATCTGAGGGGGTACCGCTGCTCCCTCTATGAGCGTGAAGCTTCCTCATGAGACGGGCTGTAAATGGATCTGATAGATCTTAGAAAGTGCTTCATGGTTGATTAGATTTCCTAAGTGTGTGCTAGAAAATACTCCGTCTTTATCTGTAAAGCAGCCCAACCCTAAAATGGTTAAAAGTTTGTTGTTGTTGTTCTAGGAAGCTGCAGGATCCAAGAGTAATGACTACTCTTTCTGTGCTCCTGGGATTGAACCTCTCAGAGATGGAGGAGGAAGAGGAACCTGCTCCTGCTCCTTCTCCTCCCAAACCCAAAGAGACGCCAGCACCTCCTCCCAAAGAGGAAGATCTCCCTGAAAACAAAAAGATGGTATAAAAAAGAAAAAGAAAAAAAAAGGCCTTAAAGAAAAAAATATTTCATTTTGCCTTCTGATGATTCCCTGTTACGAGATTAATTATGCTTTTATTTTTCAGGCTTTGAAAGAAAAAGAACTGGGGAACGCGGCGTACAAGAATAAAGACTTTGAATTAGCATTGAAGCATTATGACCAAGCGCTTAAGCATGACCCGACCAACATGACATATATCTCTAATCAAGCAGGTTGGTACCCATAGATTGTGGAGTGCTAATCTGCCCCCATTTGACCTTGTTTCAAAAATGTATTTCCTGCTGCAGGAAATGAAAGAAAGCTAACATTGGTGCATGTTGTCAAAGTAAAAGCTAAATTTATCCCTACTGACCCTTTTTTTTGTCGATTCTCTTTCCAGCTGTGTATTTTGAAAAGGGAGACTTTGAAAAGTGCAGAGAGCTGTGTGAGAAGGCCATTGATGTCGGACGAGAAAACAGAGAAGACTACAGACAAATAGCAAAGTAAGTCCTTCATGTGTCTAAAGGGTTGAAGAAATGCACGACTGGACTCATTTACAAACCCTGGAATATGTCTAGACTACTAAATTCTCACATCTTGTTGCATTTTTACCCTAATGCATTTCATTAGTATTTTTTCTGACAATTCGACAATAATATAGTTTTGAAGCTGAAAATGATACTCTGCAAAAACCTTTTTTAGAAAGAGATTTTGAAGCTTTTGTTGAATATGTATGCAGCCTCTGTTCATCTGATATCCGGATATCAGAGAAACCTTTAATTAAATTCCCTTCAGAAATGCACAATATTTATAAACCTAAGGAAAACTCTACCCTTCCTGCCTCCATAGAAATTAAACATAACTGAATAATTGAGGCTGGATGAGCAGATTGATGGTGTCCAGGTGTGTCAACTCACAATGTTTAAAATTAAACCTTGATGTAATTAAAATTCACCAGAAGGTTTTGGTCTGTGTAGTTATGCACTGGTCACAAAAAATGTCATCCTAATTACACAGACAGGGTTTCCGCGGATCATTAAAAAAATATTAATATTGCTTAGTTTTCTGGTTAACGAAGAGTTTCTGTTACCATAGTAACATTCTGCGCAGAGCTATCCTGGTCAGGAGCAGGTTTATTAGTAAACTCAGAGGTTCTCAAAGTGCCTCTTATTAAAGATCTACTGACATTTCTGGCCACAGGACCAGGTACAGGATCCATCTTGAATAAAGAGCGAAATTACATCCTTCTGGGCTTCCACGCCCCTTTGTGCGGCGTCCGTGCAGACAGAATTTTTGTACCGTGCACCTAGAAGCAGCAGCTCCTGCTGCCGTTGGTTTGCAAATGTAAACATCTAGACAAATCCAATGCTGGTGAAGATTCTCAGTCATCCAGGTCATAGTCATTCCAAAAAATAAAAAAATCACACCAGTGCACTTGGTTTCAAAGTTTGAAAACATTTCGATTCAAAATATCAAGAATAGCGTTGAGTTTGGGGCTTTATAGAGCGGCCCAAAAAACAAAGCCTTGTTTTTGGTCCATGAAAATGTGAAAACATGCAAATTGAACCGGACAAACGGGTTCGCCCCCTTGGGAATGGGAAGTCATTGGGTTCCTTGTTAGCCTGCAATACCTGTCTTTGTTCCTTAA